AAAACACACCAGATTCATAATGGCCACGTTGGTAAAGTCCTTCTGTACATAAGTACTACATAAATCATTTAGATTTGATGCACTTAATGTGTAAAATATGAGCTGAATCCAGCTATTGTCTTCTAGCAATGCCCTTATTAAGTAAAACAGCCTCGGGGGAAACCCTTAATTAATGTTTTCCAGTGTTTGAAGTAGGTATTTTTATCTCCATTTTATAAATGAATGAAATGAAATTGAGCATGATTAAATAACTTGCCCAAGGTCACAGCACTAGTAGGCTTCCACACTAGCACTTAATTCCAGTCTGTTCCTTCTGAAAGCCCTCATTCATTCCACATCACTACCCCAGGATCTAGTAGCAAAGGACTTATATCATGGTCCTTGGGGCAGAAGCCAACTATAGAATCTACACCAGAAAAAGGAGGGCTCCTGGCTCCTTAAAACTCTAATCAAGAGGAGAGATTTGCTCTCTTTAAGAGTGGCTTACACACTCATTAAAGCCCCTAGAAGCACCACTTCATCTGTAAGCAAGAGATTGCTTTTAATTGAAGGGAGAAACATGGGGTGGCGGGAGTGGGGGTAGGGGTGTCTCAGTGAGTCACACATATCGAGAAGTGAGAGGCTTCTTAAGTCTCCTAAACCTCCAATGCTCTTAGCAATGAAGTTGCACCTCCTGATATTTGCCTACATATTCTTCCACAATCTCGTTTCTTAAAAACATAATTTTTCCTTTGAAACTAAATCTGACCAATTCCCTGTACATCCCCTTGAAAAGTGATATCTTGAGCCATAGCAAAATCCATCTTTTGTTCTTTTCTCTTTTGAATTGTATCAAAGTGGATCCATAATCAGTAACAATTTGTTGCCCTACTATGTTGTTTCCAGTTCCACATGTGTATGTGTTTTTGTTTTGTTTTTAACTTATAAAATCAAGTAAGATAGCCCTTTAGGACTGCATTGTCCACCAGAGTACTTTGGTTTTATTTTCAAATAGGAAGTCAGTTTTCAGTGATTCATTTATGATCTTGGGGCTGGTGACTAATATTGATGACATTTATCACTAATGGCACCCAGATGACTGTTGGAACCAAGCTCAAAACCTACTTCAACAACAAAAGAGAAAATGCATTTGGTCATTGCAACTTTGTCTCCTGATTCTTTGCCCCAGGATCCAAGGATTATTGTAAATCAGTAGCATGAGGTTTTCAATTAGTCGTGTGTAAGTTATCTCTCATAAGCAAATTAGGGAAAGTAATGAAACAGCCACTAAGGAAAATTGTTGCAAGGAACAATGAGCTTGGTGTTCTTGCCTTCCTCTTCTATTCAAAAGCCAGCAGCTACAATCGTTATAAAACAATGTACTGTACAGTGTTTGCTGTTGATTCCTGCAGTCGAAGCTCTCAGGAGTACAGTTTGTCCCCTAGCAAGAAGATAATAGCCAGCACAAACCAAAAAATAAAGAGTCAAACAAAATGTGACCTCATGCTGTGCCTAACCAACTGATCCTTACAGGATTAGACATCACTGCTCAGCACAAGAGCCCCTGCGCTCACAGGCTCATGTTTTGGGCTGCAGACTACAGCTGTCCCCTCTACCAGAGGCTCATTTTGCTTCTGCACATTGCCTGATTTCAGTAAGCTTTCAGGGACAGTTAAGAGAGATAAGGGACAAAATGCTGGGGAAAGAATAACAGTGGTTAATGTGGAGTTCCAAATCAGCCAATTGGGGATCACCTAAACGCTATAGAAATGATGGGTGGGGGACGGCAGGAAGGAGATTTCCAACTGTATTGAATAATATGTGATTCATGTTTGTTTATTTTAAAAATCTTAGCATCTTCACTGTTCAAGTCGATGAAGATAAAAGACACATGCAAAATCTCACAGTAGAACAGGCTATTGAAGTCAAAAAGCTTTTCATTGGGGGTGCTCCACCTGAATTCCAACCTCCCCCACTCAGAAACATTCCTCCTTTTGAAGGCTGTGTGTGGAATCTTGTTATTAACTCTGTGTAAGTGATACTCCTTTCTACTATTTTTTTTTCAATTTGAGGATCACTAACATTATAGGAAATTATGAAGGTCTTAATTTAGAATTGGAAGACTGAACTGGGGGTCCTAAAAGGGAGGGCATGGCGGTCTGATTCATTATGGAGGAATGAAAACTAAGAAAAAAAATATTTTGTTCCATTCAATTAGCCCCATGGACTTTGCCCAGCCTGTATCCTTCAAAAATGCAGACATTGGTCGTTGTACCCATCAGAAACCCCTGGAAGATGAAGATGGAGGAGTTCCAGCTGAAATCATTATCCAGCCTGAGCCAGTTCCCACCCCAGCCTTCCTTACTCCCAGCCCAGCTGTGGCACATGTGAGTGTTTATATCTCCATTCACTTGGTGTTTTGAGTCGTTTTTCAGAAGGGGAATTGTTCAGGGAATCAGATATACTCTATTGCTGGGATTGGAAATGAAAATCTACTCCTCTCACCTCTACCTTGAGTTATTTTTATTTATGTGTTTCCCTAAATTTTTGTTTATAAAATAGTACAGTTTCAGTTGGAAAGTTGGAAATCAGA